TTTATGAGGGTGCATATCATTATATGTATTTGATAGTGCTCGAAATTGATTGGGTTAGATTACAAAATAACTTGAGATGCGGCCCACAGAATATGTGTATATGCAGAAGTATGAGCATGTATGCTATGTGTATGATGCAAGGTGAAGGCAACAATGTGAGTGATTCACCTTAACTGAAAGAGTAAGGTTATGTTTATTATAAGGGAGACTCATGCTCTTTGAAAAGTATATTGCTTGAGAAAAAAGATTATTTTTACAAGATGTTTGGCTTGAAGTTTTTTATAGGATATTACCTAGATTATTGTTGGGTAGTTTCTCTGAATGACCTCCTTTGTACTGTAGCATCATTAGCTATTTAAACATCTGGTTGTTAGGGTTTCGTGTTGATCGTTTTTTACTAATTTTGTGGTCCCTTTTGTGATTGTTTTGTTCCAGGAGGTGGAGCCCCTGACGCCTTTTTGCATCCATTACTCGCTGCCTGCAGCACGTGATCCATCTCCACCACCAGAGGGTTTTCGTTCATCAGAGTCATCAGGTAATGTCCATTTGTCCCTTGTCTACATGTCATGTTACAGCTTTTGTAGACTAGGTCGTGCTCCAATTTCTTGAGTTGGTACTTATACAAAGTTTGTTAAAACCGAACTGCTATTTATACTGAACTCGTTAGCATCAACCCTCTTCAGAGTTGGACCACGGTCCAATTCAAGCCCAATAGATGCTATTTGGATGAGGTTTGGGCCACCTTCTGTTAGCCCAGAGAGTTTTTGGGCTCTAAAAAGGGCTCAGACTTGAATCCATCAAATATTTTTCTTTTAACAATATGTTTTTGTGTGCGCATTTTTATGTGTGTAGCATGTGTGTATTTTTTTCTTTTATTCATGTATTTTTTTGGATGTTCTTTATGCCTAACCGTGTTTATCTTGTACGTGCATCCGTGTTTGTTTAAACTTTAAGGTTCTATTATGTGTATCCATGTGGGTTTTTATTAGTGTGTGATTGATTTAACATTTTTCATTATTTATTTATGAGTTAACGGGTTTAACTGAATTTATTATGATATAACTCATTTATAATTCATTTAATTGTGTAGCTACATTAGATATTATCTCATATTTATCATACTTAAATTATTTATATTCTCTTCATAACTATAAATATTCAATGGACTCATTATCTATGATTCTTTTATTTGACCTACCAAATAGTAAGGTTTATAGATTTTTCTTTTCTCGATTTTTTTTGTCTTTCTAGTTTTTACTTTGTGTATCAATAATTTTTTATCAAATTATTTTGATTATGAATGAAGGGATAAGATAAATATATCCAGTTTTGGGCATTAGAGATGATATTATATCAATAGAGTTCTCAACATGTATTAATATTGAGTTTTTAAAAAAAAATAATAATATTATTTTTATATATCATGTTAAGCATAACATGACTATTCAAAAGTTTTGCAAAAATATATAGATTTGTATGATATGTTAGAGATTAATTTGTTATTTAAATAAAAAGAGATATAATGATAATTTATATATTTAAATACAAAATGACATATTAGCCTTTATAGTTTTTTATAAGAGCAGATAGTAAATCAAAAAATTTTCACGTTAAAATACTTTTATTAGTAGTATAAATATAAATATAAATATAGATATTAAAAGTTCTAAACCTTAATTTTAGAGCATGATGTGGATGAACCAATTATGAATATCGTATTGACATAATCTTTAACATGCATGATGAACATGGAAGGAACACTGAATTTGACGGTTGGATTGACAAAATATGATAAACTACTAAAGGGATGTTTGCTTCGGGTATAACATAGAATGAAATTGTGTGATTGTTCAAGGCAAAAATAGGTTTATATAATTTTTTTTTTTGTATCTTATCTACGCCATGTTTGATTCAAGGTTGGGATAAAATGTGGGTCCATTCTCATGGAATTGGAGATTAATATGGAGTAGTAAATTGAAAAAGACGAAAGCACCCTTGCGACAAAGTCATCCAAAACTAGATCATGATAATCTGGTCAATTATTACAAATCAAGAATGGTTTTAGACCACATATTACGTGAGATTAGTTTGTACCGTGTAAGTAGTGTTTTTTGATATTGTCACATTGGGTTGCTATTTATTCATATTGTGAGATAGATTAGACCGTACGACATGGTCCAAATATGGTAGTAAATTACATTCAGATCAATTTAATCTAATTATACCCCTAATGCCTGAACCATATATGTTGTAACATTTACGGAGTATGACTATATTGAAAGTTAAGAATTATTGAGGCCGCTATTTCAAATCTTGGCCATAATAAATGGTAATGTTACTTTTATGACAAAATTTATTGACCAAATCCATTATCCATTAATCTGGATGTGGCCTCAAAGCTAGTCTAACAACAGTAGTGGGTTTGGTCAATAAATTTAGTCAGAATATTAAAATGAATAGATAAATGAATTTTTTTTTTTTAAATATTTTGCTGCTTGGTTTAAAAATAAAAAAAGTGACCCAAAATACTCGGGCAGTCATTAAAATTTTCTCTTCTTTTCTCATATTTTTTATCTTCAAAACTTTCATAAGTGGATGTCGAGTTCAATTTTTTGATCAGTTTACTCTCAATAGCTTGAATTTTCAATAGTTTATGTGGTAATGAGATGCTTAGCCTGAATCAAGAAAATCTCTAAAAGATTCATAGATCCACTATTCAAAACAAAATCGGAAATATACACTCTAAATGCATGATCCTTAGACAATATCAGTCTATGTATACATTTTATATAATCAAAATAATAATATGTGCAAATCTTTATTTTAATATAAATGACTCGCGTCACCGTACTTCACAATGAAATCGAAAGAGCGGCAGCTGAGGGAGATGTCAGAGAGAGAAAAAAAAAAGAAGATAGATGGACAATAGAAACAAGAGATGTGTGAGAGAGAGAGAGAGATATGAGAGAGTGCAGTAGAAATAAGAGTGCAATAGAAGTAAGGGAGACATCGGAGGGCACCAGATGTCAAGTGAGAGAGGACAGCACTTAGGGCAAAAAGTAAAGAGGTGTGGGCGGACATTTAATTTTCAGGAACGATTTTCAGCCATTAGATTGATTGTGGATTAATTTAAAATTGATCTAAATAAAAAATAAAAATTATTTTTATTAATTTGAAATATTTAAAATGCCTTGTTCTTTACCATATAGATGATTTTAGAGATGTTAGTGGACCGAAGCAGGGGCGTATAGTCTCTATCTCCATACCTGCTTAAAACGCCGTCGTCTATCCCCAGTCCACCCCCTTAATGGATGTAATTTTCATCCGCAGGTAAATTTCTAATCCCTGCCCTAGTCCCTTCTTCCCCCGTACCCCTCCAAGCCCAAGTTCAAGCTAGCATAATCTAAAATTCTAAATAAATCCAATATTTTAAATAATCTAACACAAACATAATGTAGCATAGTATATTTCAACATAACACAATGTAAACTGAGAGTATGGAGGTGGGCGGCTGACAGAGATTAGAGAGAGTAGGTTAGGGAGCTTTATTGGGAGTATATATATATATATAACGGGTATAACGGGAATGGGGCGAGGTGAGGCGAAGCGAGATGGGGGTAAGGGTAAATTCATTTTCGCCTTTATTCATGTACAGGTTTATATGAGTATTCCTGTATACGTCTATTGCTCAATATATATAATCTATCCCTAATCCAAACAGGATGAGTTTAGACGAATACCCATTTTTTATCCGGTCCATTGCCATCCACAGATGGTTTATGTAATTGGCTCTGGTGCATTTCAATTTTTTTTTTTTTTTGCATTATAGGCACACTTGAATATGAACCGAACACCGTCACCGTCAACCAAGTTGCAACCGGAAAAAGAATACAGGACAAGCCGGAGTGGAATGTGACAATCGCCACATTGAAAAACTGTTGGCAGTGAAGTTATTTTGTCCCGGATTTCAAACTGTTGAAAAAGTTGATCCTTTGATCCTGTCGAAATCTGGAGATGTATGCACTATCAACAACAATTTACCTATCTATGGATTCACATCAATCAACTTCACATATGCTTGGGATCATATATTTCCAATGAAACAAGTTTCCGCCGAAGTAGCATGTTCTTGAGAAGAAAACTCTTTAGATCTATTATGAAAGTAAGCCAACAAATTCTAAAAAAATAAAATAAATTGTTTAGACAGTCTTAAATGTTATCATTTTCATTTCTATAAAGTCCTTATCATTTCAAGTTTTTGCTCACAGATACGTACACAGGATGAAACTCTACGAAAACTACAAGTCTTCGGTATTGGTGATAATGAATTCTTTGGAGGCAAATACCAAATTCATTTCCCAACGCTTCAAAACTTGCAATACTTGATCTTTCGTCCAACTCTTTCATTGGATGAGTTCCAACAAATCTAGGACTTCTAGAATCTCTTCAATGGCTCAATATATGGAGTATGGTTATGATCCTTTGGGCACTAATACAAGTCAAGACTTGAGTTTTAACACATCTTTGTCAAACTGAAGCAATTTGCAATGATTTTACTTCAATGGATATAACTTTGGAGGTGAATTACCCAACTTCATAGGCAATCTCGCAAATCAACTCAAAGAACTATGCCAAGAGGAAAATCATATATTGGGTGTTATCATGTACAGGTTACAATTGAGTAACAACTTTTTCACAGGTGCCATTTCCAATTATTTTGGGAGTCTCCAAAATTTGGAAGAACGGCTAGAGGGAAATAGATTTTTAGGGCAAATCCCGTCCTCCGTGGGCAACCTCAGTTATATCGTCTCTCTTTATCATATAACAAATTAGAAGGGAATATACGTTCAAGTATTGGAAACTATCGAAATTTAGTAGACCTGGATGTGTTGCAAAATAACCTCAGTGGCCTCGTGCCCAAATAGGTCACTAGTATCTCCTCCCTATACCTTGACTTATCACAAAAGTCATTGAACAGGTCCCTACCCCGGGAAGTAGGGTTAAGCACACCATATAAATGCATTGGATATCTCTAAAACCAAATTGTCTGGGAGAAATTCCAGAAACCATTGGTGATTGTATGCCCCCCGAGTACCTAAGTCTGCAAGGAAATGTTTTTGAGGGAACCATTCCCTCCGCTTTCCTTCTATAAAAAGCATCCGATATCCAAACCGTTCACGAAATAACTTGTTCGGTAAGGTACCAACAGGAGGAGTTTTCAAAAGTGTAAGCGAAATATCAATGGTAGGGAATAGAAAAGTTTGTGGAGGTATCCCTGAACTACAACTTCCACCAAGCCCTATCGATGTAACGAAGCACGAAAGGCCTCGAGCATTCAAAGTAGAGATCAAAGTAGTTAGAATAGTTATGTTTTCCATTTTAATGACGGCTTTCAGTGTCCTATGTTGGAGGCAGCAGAAAGGAATGGACCCATCTTCCACAACTTCAGGAGCCGGCATGCTTCTGAGGATTTGCTACTAAGAACTCTACCAAGCAACTACCGGATTCTCTTGAGAAAATTTAATTGGGTCATTCCACAAAGGTAGGATACAACAACAAGAAGAAAGGATAGCTGCGGTAAAGATAGGCCTGTCGATGGTGTCGAGCGGAACGGTTTCGTGTCGGGTGAAATGAGTTTATATCAAAAAATCCTCTATTCATACCTTATTCATTTGTATAAACGAGTTCAACTATTACACCCATACACGAATTATTTATTAGACGGTTATCCGATACAACCCGTGTGTCACCCTCTAAATAAAGGAATAGGTTAAAATATTTCGAGTCTATACAAAAAATTATTAACTCGCTACATATTATACATATTTGACCTGTTTACTATAACAATAAATTATGACTGAACAAAAAAATAAAGACAAAAAATAAACATTAAATGACTATTAAATTTGAATGAGTATGAGAAATGAAAGGTGTGACATGAGGCAGAGGCAGAGGCAGAGGCAGAGGCAGAGGCTGAGAGACCCAAATTTTTTGTAAAAAATTTATAGTACTATTGTTAACTGGTTACACAGGTTGAAACGAGTTTATGAGTTAAACACGAAACGATTCATTTATTTCACGGGTCTGTCGAGTTAACTCGTTAACTACTCGAACCCGTTAAGACTACACCAAAATCCAATAAATATGTGTCGGATTCGTGTCGATTTCACGAGTTGTGTATAAAATTGTCCGGCCTAGGTAAAGATACTAAAACATGAAAAGAGTGGAGCTTCAAAAACTTTCACGGCCTAGTGCAGAGCATTAAGAAACATTCGGCTTGGAATTTAGTAAAAATCTTATAACTTACTGCTCCAGCATTGATTTCAAAGGTAATGACTTTTAAAGCATTTGTTTACGATTTTACGGAAAACTGGAGCTTATATATGTGGTTATATCCAGAAATAACTGTAGTGAATAGATTAAGGACATTGAATCTTGTCCAAACAGTTGATGTGGCTTCTGCATTGCACTATCTTTTCAAACATTATGAAACGAACCTGACTATATATGATACTGAAATGAAATATTTTGGAACTATACCAAAATTAATTTTAACCATTGATTTTTTGAAGATCAATCGCAACCATTGATCACCCCTCTATGTCACTATCAGCTTGTAACCTACTTAATGAGTTTTACCACCCTAAAATTTGGTATCATCACCATAAATAGTGGTAAATTCAACCCAAAGATTTTGCCATCATTTTCAATTAGTAATAAATTATGGTGGTATCAATACCCAAAAGCTTAATAAATTCATTTTGAATTTGATTGATTTCATCCAAAATGATGGTAATTTACCCAAAAGGTTGTATCATCCTCCCAAACTGTGTTATCATCATCCCCATGATTGATAAATTGATCCCAATATTTGCATGATCACCAAAATAGACTAAATTCGTCCAAAATTATACTAAACACCCAAACTATTGTACCATCACCCCTAAGCACAACAAATTCACCCCCAATCGTTGTGATATCATTCAATCTTTGATCCAAATTTGCGTAACATCACCCCAAATAGTAGTTTCCTCACCTCAAATCATTGTAACATTACCTCAACACGGTAATATCTTTACCCTAAATGGTGATAACTGATAAATTCATCTTAAATTAACTTCAATTTCACGAAGTTACACATTGAATTCATCAACTCAAAATTTAACTTCAACAAATTAACCTTAAATGGACCTTTAATTTCAATTAATACTATTTAATTCAACAAATTAAACATTCAATTTCATTAAGTTGATTGCTTTCAATGAATTAATATTCAAGTCCATTAATTTAGAAATTAATATCAAATTGATCTTAAATTTCATCAAGTGTTTATTGCTATTCAAAGATTCTCTCAAGTATTTTGAGTAAAGGTCCTCTACAAATAGGCCAAGTTCCAACAATTTTCACAATATATTTGGTGGTATTAGTCCTCAATGGCAGCCGCAGGCATCATCAACTCCGTTTGTTTAACTCTCTTCCTTTTTCTCATGATCAAAGGTTAAATTTCTTTTGCTTTCCTAGTAGTTTTGCTCAAGTGTGTGTGCATGTGTATGTATGTTCTCATGTGCGCATCACTCGATAGAAGTTGTTAATGTTTATAGGATTATATGTTTGTCCCACATCGGTAAGATACAATTGATATTCGCTTTCTATTCTCTTTTTCACATAAGCATCTCATATACCATCAATAGTTTGACTTTTTTTTTTTTGGACAATTAATTGTGGTAATAGAAAACTCGAAACCTTACTCACATCAAATATCAGTCCTAGACATCACTTGTTCTAAATACTACATAGTGGTCTTAAATTACATAGAATGTGTGCAAACCATTTTTCCTTCAATTGCATTATAAGTATGCCTCTGTATTGTAGCTAATTGAAAGATTTAAGAAAAGTGAGAGATCTTAAATCGAATTTAGACACATTCATATGATTTCTCAGGACAACAAATACAGAAGTAAGCTGCCCGAATCTCTTTTTGAATGGGTTGATTTCTAGACTCTAATCTACAACATATAGCTTACATTAGATGTACATATCAAACATTGACTTGATATATATATATATATATACTAGTCATTACCCATGCCTGAAAATACTATGTTACTTATAAAATTTCAACACACAATGGTAGGATATTTGAATAACTTCAATACATAGCGATTAGATTAGTTTTGAACATTTTTTGTTGGTGCAATTGGTATCTTATTTGTTTTTGTATTGGTCACCTATTTTTTTTAATTTCTGATTAGCTTGGGCTTTGGATTTTTATTTTATTTTCTGAGAACTATAGGTTTTCATACAGTAGTGATTTATTTTTGGTATGAATAATAAATTGATGATTTTATTTATAGATTATAAAGAAAATTTAAATTTCATTAATTGATAAAAAGTAAAAAGTAAAAAGTAAACATCAACCACCGTTACTAAGATGCGTGATAAGAAAATCTACTTACGGTATATTTTAGGTGTGAATCAGTTTGTAATAAGAAGGATAAAAATTATATAGTAAGTATATAATGGTTTTTAATGAAATATTATACCAAAAATTTTGAAAAAATCGATAAACCAAATAATTTGCATGTCAAAAAATGGTAACATTATCCATTTGAGTATTGGTTTTTGTGTTGTAGTGATGGTGTGTATGAGGTTAATGGGGTCAAACGTAAATTGGAAAATCTTGAAAAAAGAAGCATTAAACTTAGAGATATTATGTATTTTATGTGTGTTTAATATAAATATTTTTAATTTTATGCAAAGTTTTATAGTAAAATTAGAAATTAAATTAAACCAACATAAATCAATGTACAAACAATACACTTTTAACATATAACAGTTAACAACAATTAGTTAATAACAATATATCCACAACTAAACCACACAAACATTAAAAATTAGAAACAACAAACTATTGCCAAAGCATACACTACTAAACCAACACGAAAAAATCATCAATATTCATAAACACGCATACATGTTAAGTTATAAAAATTAAACATAAAATATTTGATAACTATCCAGTTATAAAAATTGAAAAAAAAAAATAATTAACATGAAATAATGAGATGCTTTGTCATTAACAAAATTTGTAATAGATATTCTTTTAACTAATTATTTATGACAATCAACAATATGTTTTGTTCACTTTCAATAAAAATTAAATTTTTGAGAACTATAAGTTTTCATGTAATTCTGAGCAAAGTGGTGATTAGGTATGAATAATAGTTCGAAAGTTTCACTTATGTATTGGATATTTATATTTTTTGTTTGTGTGAAAGTGGTGATGACAATTAGATTAATTTTGAAATTTTTTTTGTGCAATTGGTAATATTTTTTATTTTTGATTGGTCACTTATTTTTTTTATTGGTGATTAGTTTAGACTTTGTTTTTTTTTTCTTTTTTGAGAACTACAGGTTTTTATATAGTAGTGATTTATTTTTGGTATGAATAATAACTTTATGATTTTATTTATAGATTGTATATTTATACTTTTTAGTTGTGTGAAAGTGGTGATAACGATTAGATTGATTTTGAATCTAACTACTTTATTTTATATATATATATATATATATATATATATATATATATAGAGAGAGAGAGAGAGAGAGAGAGAGAGAGAAGATATGAGATAGTGTGTTTAAAATGTCTAAGAGATAAGAGAGAAGAGAGTTACATGAGAGATAAGAGTGGTAGAGTTAAGTCCAATTATAATCGTCGGATCATAACTTTTGAGATGATTTGAATAGTCTTTTATGTTGAGATTATATTATCCGTTGAATGTATTTATGTTTTGTCTTAAAACGATCTAGACCTCTCTTTGTCTTTTGAATTCAAATTTCGTTCTATTTTATTATATAGATATTTGGCCCTTCTGTAACTTATTAGATCATTAGTCATTATTTGTACCCGATGACACAACATAAAAAAAAATTACACTTGAAAGCAATATATAACCAAAAAAAACACACCAAACAATATATACCCACTATTCAAAACAAAATTGGAAAAATACACTCTAAAAACATGATTCTTGGACAATATCAGTCCTTGTAAATAATTTATATAATCAAAATAATAATAAGTGCAAATATTATTTTAATATAAATGACTTCCGCCACCGTACTTCATAATGAAACCGAAACCGAAATCGAAAGAGATGCAAGTGAGAGAGGGAGGAAGATAAGAAGAATGAAACCGAAACCGAAATCAAAAGAGATGCAAGTGAGAGAGGGAGGAAGATAAGAAGATAGAAGGACAATAGGGACGAGAAACGTGATAGAGAGGAAGACATGAGAGAGTGCACTAAAAATAAGGGAGACATGGATGTCACGTGTGAGAGAGGGCACCACTTAGGGCAAAAAGTAAAGACGTGTGGGTGGGAATTTTATTTTCGTGAATTATTTTCAGCCATCAGATTGATTTTGGATTAATTTAGAATTGATTTGAACAACGAAAAATAAAAGTCATTTTTTTTATTTGAAATATTTAAAATGTTTTGTACTTTATGATATAGATGGTTTATGTAATTGGTTCTGGTTCATTTTTTTTTTTGCATTACAGGCACACTTGAATATGAACAAAACACCGTCACCGTCAACCAAGTTGCAACCGGAAAAAGAATACAAGACAAGCCAGAGTGGAATGTGACAATCGCCAATCCACAGACATGTACTCTGTGGGCAGTGAAATTATCTTGTCCTGGATTTCAAACCGTTGAAAAGGTTGATCCTTTGATCCTGTCGAAATCCGGAGATATATGCACTATCAACAACGATTTACCTATCTATGGATACACATCAATCAACTTCACATATGCTTGGGACCATATATTTCCAATGAAACAAGTTTCCTCCAAAGTAGCATGTTCTTGAGAAGAAAACTCTTTTTCATCTATTGTGTCAGTAAGCCAGCAAGTGTTGGAGAAACTTTAAAGATATATTGTTGCTCAAGTTTTCAAAATAAACAATGTGTACTCCAAATTCTTAAAAAAAATAATACTTTAGACAGACTTAAATGTTCTCAATTTTCATTTCTATACTAATTATTTTATTAGTTATACACTACCTGATGTCCATATCAAATTTGGCAAAAAAATTGTTCCATTTTGCAAGAATTGTGTGTTTTGGTTTTACTTTGCGGGAGACATGTTTCAATTTTCATCCAAAAGATGAAGGACATTTGTATTTGGGGGCAATCTGAAATCAATTCAAATAGTTGAGAGAAAAATTTGAAAAATTTTATAATTCAAGGGACAAAGAAAAATTCTATAGTATGTGATTCACGATTTGTATTTGTTAACTCGAAACAACCTGACAATAAAAAATGAATTAGAAATAATTTGACACGACATAATTATCTCTCCTAACTTCATGATTGAAGTAGGTTACTTACAGAGAATTGATTACAAGAATTGAAACAGAGTGGCTTGTGGTAGTGTCAAGCTTCAAAATATCACACTAAGTTTGGGGATAATAATAATTTTTATGTAAATAATATATTCAAACACCTTGTTTAAATAAATTATGTTAGAAAAGTACACCTATGGGGTCGTCACTTTGAATTTTTTATTGTAGTAACTAAATTGCAACGCCGAAAATTGCTTTAATTCATGTACGAACACTTTCCTAAAAATAATATTTGCCACCACAAGTTGTTTAGAAAGGTGTGCATCGGGAAATCTGCAAATTTATTCTCAAGATACAATGAAATTTCTTAAATTTGTCTGCTTATTACATTTATGAAGACAATATTTAAATATCTTAAGGTAATCAAATAGTCAACTTTTAGTATTCTAACTCTTTAGGAAATAGAATACTAAATTGAATAGAAAACAATAGATGTACGTGGATTTGGGAGAAATTGAGAGAAAGAAGAATGAGAGAGAAATTCCACACTTGTTCAATAGTGTGATTTAGGAGTGCAATACATCACCTATTTATAGACTCACTAATGACTTTTCATAAAATGTGTAACCATATGTAATGGTGTCTTTTGGTTAAAAGGATACCAATTGTGACTTTATGAAAATGTACAACCATTTGAAATGGTAACTTTTAGTCCAAGAGTTATCATATATGACTTTATGAAAAGTTGTAACTATTTATAATTGTGACTTTTAACCAATAGGTGCTAATGGTGTCTTTATGAAAAGATATAACCATTTGGATTAATGTCTTTATCCAAAAGTCTCCAACTTGAATGAGTAACATTTTAGAGATATTCATATAATAAAGTAGAACGATTTTGAATATAAAAGCCAAAAAGCGGTTGATATCATTTCGTGACTAAAAAAGACATCATTTAATGGACGACGCTATACCAAACTGTCTCGAGTTATTGATGTCTCAGATCGTTTTGATCCAAAATATCACATTAACTCTTAAAATATTTTTTCCCCTCAACATTTTTAGTTTCCAAAATTGACACCCCTACATTGAACTCGTCTCTCAATCTTGCCCAAAATCAATGTCATTTAAATTTAAAAATCTATCCAAATTTAAAATTAACGTCCATATTTAAATTTTGACCCCTACTCATACTGCTCTAAATAATATCCTTTCCATATCAGAGAAATCACTTTTTCACATCATAGCTTGAGAATATTCAATATCATGATTATATTATATTATTTACTCTGCTTTTCTTTATCACCTGCATCCATCTCGATCTTTTCATCAAATTATTTATGATAGTCTCTTTCTCTTCTGCCTCTCTCTCTTTCTCTCTTTATTCCTCCTCTCGATCTTTGCCCTTAACGAATAGCCACCGGCGCTCCTTTCTCTTCTCTTTTTTTCTCTCCTCACCAAAATCCTCTCTCTTCACAACAACACTATGGAGGGACCATCGAAGACACAGTGATCAATCATCGACAATCTTGAAGCCTCACCCGGGTATTCTTCCCCCATCTTCCTCTCTCTGCGTATGTCTCCCCTTACCATAACCACCCTTTCCTTCCCTCACCCCTCTGCCACCGAAACTCATAACAGTCCACCAAGCACCTTATATATCCAAAGCCAAACTCTTACCTGTAGCCAACCAGTACCTCCACCCCCTTTCCTCCTCACCACTGCCACCGAAACCTCCCTAGCCAACAAACGCCTCCCCCCCCCCCCACACGCACATATTGCTATCGAAATCCACCACAGTCACCAAAACACCAAGTGTTTGTATTATTGCTTCAATGAGCGGGCCAACATTATCCTTATTTTTTAGCGAACTTACTTTTTCTTCTGCATTGACCATCTATAGCACGACGGCACAGCTCCAATGATCAACAATGGCACAACTCTAGCTGGACGATGAACTCCTAAAAAAGTGGTTTGCTGGTTTGGGTTTGTTATTTTTTTTTTTAGTTTTACATATTTTTGGGTTATTTACAATCGTTTTTTGTATGTTCTAGGATATGAAGACCCAAGATTAGTTTAGGCTAAGTGATCCTTTGTGAACAAAGATGAGTTCATCTATTTCTGATGTTTGTTTTGTCCAAAAATTGTAAAGAATTTCAAAAGAACCAAGGATCCCTTTTGATCAAGAACCAATCCTTTGTTTTTTTGGCACATTTGGGAATGGTTTGCATCGAAAGAAAACAAAAATGAAAGGAACTACTGTGAGGTATATGCACGATAATTAATGAGTTCTTCATACTACTATTCAAAATTCTTTAGTTTGTAATGTCTATGTTTTAAAAAATTTCAAATCTTGAATTCAATTTAATGCTTTGTGCACATTTATAAATGTTGCAAGTTATACACTATTCCTATAGTACACTAAAATTTAACTTGATTTGTTGTCAATATGTCTTATAGTTCATTTGATTTGTTGTCAATTTGATACATTATTTGGCTTGGATTGTAGTTAAAAGTAAGCTTGTCTTCCCGTAGTGGTACTGATGGTTGCTGAAGATATGTTTTAGGTTTGGAAGTGATAATGATGGTAGTCTTAGTAATGATAGTTAAACTTGAAGTTGTGATGGATGGGTGGTGGTTGGGAAAGGTCTTGGGACAAATTTGTGGAACATAAAATTAATTTCGTTGATGAAATTTGGTTTGAATTGAATAGCAAAATTAATTTAAATAGTTGATTTGGTTATATTTAATTTCAATTTGAGCACAAAATTTGATTAGATATCAAAATTTAGGCTAAGTGGTAATAATGGTAATAGTGGTAATAGTTCTGAACATGGGAGCCATTTCCACGATAATTTCAAAGGAGCTCCTAACCACTGGGACGAAAAAATCAAAGAAATGCAGAATCGGCTAGGTGACATCTTCAACGCTATGAAGGCACAAGGACCCGAAACCGTCGAGTATCTGGTAAGGCGAACCAACACACCCTTCATACTAATTGTGGTGAACTACCCACTTTCCCAAAAGTTTAAAATGTCATATGTAGAAACTTTAGATGGTATAAAGGACCCACATGATCACCTCGAAGCCTACAAAACCTTAATGTAGCTGCACAATGTCCCCGACGAAATTATGTGTACGGCATTCCCAACTATCTTAAAGGGATCAACGCGACAATGGTTCGTCAAACTCACCCTGGCCTCCACAGGCTCCTTCGCCGAATTGAGCAAATCCTTTGTGGCACAGTTCATTGGTGGACGCCGCCAGCAGAAGCCTACCACCCATCTGCTCATCAAAAAACAGGATTGAGACGATAGTCTAAGGAGTTACCTCACTCGTTTTAAAGAGAAGGTCCTCTAAATCGAGAAGCCCAATGACAAAGGCACCATGACCACCTTTCTGGGAGGCCTTCGCTCATCAAGTTTTATCTTTTCAGTAATGAAGCGACCACCAAAAAGCATGCCAGAACTATTGGTAAAAGCTTAAAAATATATGAATGTTGAGGAAATCAACAGATCTAGGCGAGATGAATCATCTCGCGGATTGCCAAAAACTTGATCTATCTCTGTTCTGCTTTCAAGTAAGCAGCTTATGTCATTAGCTTAACGGCTCTCTCACGGGTCGTCAAAAGCTTAGCCTATCTTTGTTTTGCTCTCAAACAGACAGCTTATGCTCCAGCTAGCGGCTCTCTCGCAGGTTGCCAAACGCTTGGACTATCTCTGCTCTGCTCTTAAGCAGACAGCCTATATCTCCAGCTTAGTGACTCTCTCACGAGTTGCCAAAAAGCTCGCCCTGAAAAGGTGTAGCTCTCTCATAAGAAACCCTAAAATTTTGCCCTCTATTTTCATGTGGGTAGCCTCACAGTCAGCCTACCTCCAGTTTATCGACCCTCTCATAGTTGCCAGAAGCTCGGTCTCAAGAGGTGCAGCTTTCTCACGAGAAACCTCTAACTTTGTCTTTCCTCTCATGCAAGCATCCTCTATTTCTCTATAGGCCGATGTGTCTGCCCCTCTCTCTAGGTAATCATGTTGGATATTTTGATGTTTGAGTAACATTGTTTTTGCCATCTCTAGGCACACCCTTAAAACTCAAGTCGTCTGCAACCCGAGGAACTACATTAAATTAAATGTCAACAATCAAACCTCATAACTCCATGCTCAATCTTAACCACCATGCTTGATTCGCCTAGCATTGACAAATCTGCGCCCAGCGTCGCCTGAACACACCCAAACCTCGACGGAACCACTTGCACACCTGTCTGGCCACGACCAAAGTTGGGCGACGCCACTGGTGTGCATGCTTGGCCACACCCAACATCTGGCGAGGATATCCGCGGGCTCCAGTCTGCCCATCATACAATTGCGCCATTCTACCGCAAACAGCAGAGCCACCATCCCTTCATGCTCATGGCGCCTCGCTTGAAGCACTTGAAATCCATGGTGCCTCACCTGCAGTGCCTGATCACCTTGGCACCATGCCATTAGCGCCCCCACCAGCTAGCCACACGGCACCCCGGCCTCGACAAC